AATTATTTTAAATGTAATTTACTTCTGACTTTTACTTCGCCCTTTTAATTTATGTTGAATACTTTCATCAAAATTAATGGCATATTATTTTACCTTGATTTATTTAATGTATAGATTAGACGTTATATTAATTAGGAATTACGCGATCGACGTAATCAATAATTTTTTCAACTCCAATCTGTTTTCCACGTGATTTATCTAGGTACTATTAATAGAAAAAATATTTTCTGCGTATCACTTAGGCCGGTATTCATAGTCGGTTCTTATTTCAAGACTGTCGTAAGTAATGTTTTAAGATGCTAAAGCGGCCCTCTGATTGGTTCGTAACTCCTCAAGACTGAATTTAAGACGGTCTTGAATATAAGAACTGACTATGAATACCGCCCTTAGAGATATGCCTTCGACTTCATTTTCACTATCGCTCGAGTCGGAACTGTCATCGGAACTTTCATCATTTTTCTTTAAAAGTATTAAAGAAGAAATTACAATTATTAGAAATTGTTTATTGACGTCTTGTATAGCGTCCATCTTGGAACTCGCATAGCTCGCACAGGAAACCGGTCCGAATTCATAAGCGCTTCATGCGTGTTATGCGCGCATTGAAAAAACGGAACAATTTCAAAGTGTTGTGCATTAAGCGGGGAGCACATACTTTTGCATAACGCATAAAGCATGTGCATAAGGAATTTCATTGGTCCATTTTCTTATGCATGAGTCAATGGACCAATCAAATTCTTTATGTATATGGTTTATGCGTTATGTAAAAGTCTGTGCTCCCCGCTTAAGAGCCCCAACACAGACTTTTGCATAACGCATGAAGCATGTGCATAAGGAATTTCATTGGCCCATTTTCTTATGCATGAGTCAATGGACCAATCAAATTCTTTATGTATATGTATTATGCGTTATGTAAAAGTCTGTGCTCCCCGCTTAAGTATTGCAGTCCACGCGCTTCATGCGCGACTCGGAACGCACTCTAGGACTCTAGCCCTAACTACGTTAAAAAATTTCTCTTTTCATTTTTCATTCTAGGGAAAGTTTCATGATTCGATCGATACCCCGGTGTCCGTTCGTGATTCGGGCTACGCCATTTTCGTGGGCATTGCATCACTCCTTTGTTTTCATATTTATTTTTGTATGCATATTATTTCTTTTTGGTACGACTGGTCACGTTAATCCGGTTACGCCGGAACCTGGGCCATTTAAATTTAAGAAGAAGGCGTTAACTTGCAAGTGACTCTGGTACTGCAAATAAATTAACGGAGAATTGGCGAGTTGTACGTATGTATGTACATGTATACATACATATACAAAGGACGTACTTAAGGGAGAAGATATTCTAACCAGGGGAAATCCAACGAAATAGCGAGTGGTAAAATGGATGAGGCTAAATTTCTGAAAAGGTGAGAAGAAGCCATCGCCTCTGCATCTGTTGAAGGATATTTGTAGTTTGTCAACGCGTAATTCTTGTACGAGTAAATTGCAGTAGTATTTGTAAAATCAATTCAAGTTACACAAATTTTGCACAATTATAAATGTCTTATTAAATTATAATGCAGTAAACTTAAGGTGCATCCCGCTTTCCGTTTTCAGTGGTAGGCATCATTTATTTTTGTTTAACTCGACGTAGAGACACAGAGACTGAGGCTGAGTTATAATGGTTACATTTACACAGAGACTTATTTTACGATATAATATTTTAGAGCGGCGCTCATCGGAAAATAAGGGATGCTTTCCACGTATGACACAAATTGTAACACAGTATTACACTGTGTTGCAGTGACAGGATGCTGCTTGGAACACATGTTTCACATAGTACACAACAAATCTTATTTAACCACAATTTACTTGATACAATCTTAACTTAATATTTATAATCTATTGAATGCTAGTAATGCCTACATATCAATAACGGTTTCAGATTTTGTACTCTTATTACTTTGGCTGCAATCATTTTATCACATTAGATCAAACACATTAGATATTATTTATTTATTTAATTTTAATAACATCAATGAGCTAGTTAGGATTGTTACGTTAAATTTAACAGGATGCCACTATAAAACATGCTTTTCTTTTTTATGGTTAGTAGTTCTAGTGACACAGCATGGTAAAACTTGAGTGCTTTTCAGCAAGGACACAATCAGATACTGTATAACATAAGGAATCGTTTCATCCTTGTTTAACATAGGCAAACAACAAGGATGTAATAATTCTCTGTGTTATACTGTGTCTGATTGTGTTCTTGCTAGAAAGTATTCACAGATGATATAGGGTTACTCTCACCAACTGTTTGTGTCAAGAAGTCTAAATAATTGAAAGTCAAAGTAAATACATGGTGTAAACGTTGTACAGCCAATAACCCAAGACCCCCAAGATATTAATAAACATCTATATCTTGTAATATGCTTGCTAATTTTAACTAACCATCCAGTAACTACAGTATACTTATTGTTAGTGGTTGATTTTATTAGACTAACCATGTTTAAAAAAACTTAAACATGTTTACCTATTATTCCATAAAAGCTATTAGTTTTCTAAAACTACAAATTGACATTACAAGAGTAGACCAAAAATATTTAAATTGTCATGATATCACCTTAATATCTGTATAATGTCTCCCAGTGAGAAATGACAATGTAATCGACGTCAAATCGACATCAATTTGATGTTAATTTTATTATCATTTCTCACTGGGCTATATTCTATAATTGTTATATAGTTGTAAATAGTTATGGTTGTAAGAATTAATCAGTTATTTTTTTCATCTTTAACTGTGATTATAATTTATTTACAACTATAACCATTTGCAATTATGCTTATAGCTATTGTGGAACAGGTATAATCATGGGCGTCCATAGGATTTTTTCCAAGAGGGCATGATTTAAAATATAATAATAATAGTAATATTAATAATATTATTATATGTATATAATTACTAGACTGTAGATATTTATACAAAAATATTTAACTGAATATTTTGCATAAAATGCATATTTTCCATAAACTTTACATATTTTATATAATTTTCAAGTAGGTATATAGTATGATTATATCATAATTATATGATGGAATACATAGCTAATTCGAGTTTCCGCAAAGACAGTAGGCATTTAAAGGGAAATCTATTTTCGGATTCATTTTGATGTTTTGCGAGTATATCTGAGACTAGAATTGAGAAAAAAAGTCAAATGATAATCTTACATATCCGAAGTGTTGTCTCCGCGAAATTGAGTAACGGCTCCGTTTAAAATCGGAAGAATAATATCGATGACTATGAGTTGTCAATTTTGATTACGTGATCTATTTTAACGCTAAAAATAAGCATCAAGAAGTGTCAGCATGAAAAGGCATGTTAAGATCTCACCACACACGCTTTTATTCGGCGCGCGCGCCTGTTGCCCGAGGGGGGGGGGGGGGAAGAGGGCAAATGCCCCCTTGCACCTCCCTGTGGACGCCCATGAGTGTAATACATATTTTAGCATAATGATGGATATTTGATAGACAACAATGATGAATTGCTTACAGCATGAGTGCAAAAACAGAATTCACCCATATATTTACACATTATTATATTGATGTTTAGGAAGGTAAGATCTGGAACATTGGATGTTCATCCAACAGAGAAGGCTCTGGTAGTTAATTATGATGTTGAGGCGTTGATATTGGGGGAACTAGGTGATCCTATGCTCGGCGATCGCAAGGCACGTTTTTTTTATATAAATAAATGATTGACTTGCGAGACCTATTATATGTTTATCATTGTGTATAGGAATGTCAAAAGATAATTAGATTGAAGAGCTTGAACACCGATACTAATGTTTCTCTCTTAGCCAAGGAGGTAATGGAAAAGTGTTCGTTGATACACGAATCTAAGTTGCATGAGGTTGAGCAGTTAATATATTATCTACAAAATCGTCGGACCAATGATATCAGTACAGGTAATATAACATGATTTTTATGTTTGCTATTTTTATGTTAGAGATTCTACAAGTTTAATAAATTTATAATTTTCTTAGGTAGTGATAGTAATTCCCAGTCACTAAGACCAGCATCGTCGAATTCAGTAATCACAGAGAACAGTGAGATTGAACGTGCAGTCATTAGTAACATTGACAGTTATATTGAATTATTATATGAAGAAATACCAGGAAAAATTAAAGCTTCATCATTAATTTTACAATTAGCGAGGATACCTGATAATCTTTTAGAATTGACAAAAAATGGTAATCTTTGTGTTGCACATACATTTTTTTTCTAAAAATAATTTTAGATAATTTTAATTTGATTCATAATAGTAATAAGAAAATTATATATCATTAAAAATATATTTGTGAGATTAACTACAATAAATGAGATTATCTATTTGTTCATACAGAATCATTATTAAGTGCATTAGCTAGAGTTCTCAGAGAAGATTGGCGGCGCAGCATAGAACTATCCACGAATATCATTTATATCTTTTTTTGTTTCTCAACGTATAGTCAGTTTCATAACATTGTGCTTGAATACAGAGTAAGTTGCAAATATTGATAAAACTTAGAAGGATTAGATAATCTTTGGAACTATATTTACATTATTCACATTTTTCTTTTTCATGTACAGACCGGTTCTCTTTGTATGGACATAATTGATTTTGAATTACGTCGCTATGACCAGTGGAAGGAGGACATGGAGAAACGTCGGAAACAGTTTGAGAACATCACTGGTCTAACGTTTTTTCCAGCGGGTAATAATGATAATTATGACAGGAAGATTAGAATCATCGATGATATTTGGAATATAGAAGGCCCATTAGATTATGAGGTCAAGAGACGCTCTGCGGAAGTATCTTCTGTAACTGTCTCTGAAAGTGATATTAAGAAGTTGAAGGAGGAACTAGAAAAAAGTCGCAAGAAGTTCAAAAGTTTGACTAAGAAGCAAGAGCAACTGCTACGAGTTGCATTTTATCTACTGTTAAATATTGCCGAAAACGCTATGGAAGTCGAAAAAAAAATGCGTAAAAAAAATGTCATCAGTATGCTGATTAAAACGTTAGACAGGGCCAACACAGACTTGTTGATCCTGGTTGTTACATTTTTGAAAAAGTTATCCATCTTTCGCGAAAACAAAGATCTTATGGTAATATTTTATATAAATATATAAATGTCACGAATAAATACATCTTATACTTAAATGTAAATTTACATCACATTTGCAGATAGAAGAAAATATTATAGACAAATTACCGAGACTTTTACAAAACAATAATACTGATCTTGTGCTGAGCACCTTAAAATTGTTATTTAATCTCTCTTTTGATACTAAATTGAGAGCAAGAATGATTAGAGTGGGTATGTTACCAAAATGGATAAAGTTGCTTAGCCAAGGTAAGATTTCTGTTTCAAAAAATATTGATGTATATACTCTCGTTTTTACGATATTACAATAATATGTAAAAAATGAAAATTCTACATAATCTTCAACATGCGTGCGTGCATATATAAATTCTAAATATATTATCAATGTTATGTTCATAGCTGATATAAAAAATAAGAGCACAATTGTAGGACTACTCTATCATGCCAGTATGGATGACAAAGTGAAAGCAATGTTCATAAATACAGATTGTATTTCAATGGTACATAAAAATCTATAGTTTTGATATAAATTTAACAAACTGGAAACTATAGACTATAATATTTGTATATTCCACTTAGGTAACAAACATGATATTAAATTCTGAGGATGAACATGTAAGATCTGAATTAATAGCTCTCGGCATAAATTTAGCTATTAATAATAAGAATGCGCAACTGATGGTGGAGAACAATCGTTTGCAAGGTCTCATAAAAATTGCATTTAAAAATCAAGATGCCCTTATAATGAAGATGATTAGAAATATTTCCCAACACGATTCAACAAAGGAAAATTTTGTCGTAAGTCAAAACATTAATGTTAAAATTAATATATAACAACTACAACTATTATCGTAATTTTCACTTGTATATATATTTCTTTTTTCTTTTTAAAAGGAATTTGTGGGTGATTTTGCAATGGCTTTGACTCAATCTGATTCTCAAGACTTTGTACTGGAAGTGATTGGCGTGTTAGGCAATTTGGAATTGCCTGATTTGGATTATTCTCAAATCATTCAACGCTGTAATCTTATACCATGGATACGTAATAATTTGGTTCCAGGTAAATCCCTTTCTCTTTTATGTTATTCTTATTTTGTTCTTTGTATTTAATGTTAATAAATAGAATTTAAAGGTAATATTAAATCTTAAAAAAATGATATAATTATTAAAGGTAATATTAAATCTTAATCTCTATTTTGTTATATCGATTTTTATATCTATAGGTAAAGTGCAAGATGATGTAGTTCTTGAGATTGTCATATTTCTCGGCACTTCAGCCCGTGATGAAGATTGTGCTCGTTTGTTATGTAAGGCTGATATACTTCTCTCTCTTATCGAACTCCTTAAAGGTATGCATGTATTAAAAAGCAAACGTATGTAAAAAAAACAACCATACATATTTGTAGGTACATTTTTAATTGTACGTTTATGGGAAACAAGCATTATTTTCAATATATAATATCATTACAGCCAAGCAAGAGGATGATGAAATGGTTTTACAAATTATTTACATTTTTTATCAAATTGCAAAACATGATTCAACCCGAGATTATTTGATTCGAGAGACTGGTAATGGTAATATATAATCAATTTTCTCAGTTATTACATATTTAGATATAAAAACGCATAAAATAACATGGCAGATGTTGTAAATATATATTTAAACTGGAGACTCTAATAAGAGTCTGGACATGAGCCGCAGTTTTATGTGCAGGATAGTAATTTTAACAAACGGCAAGGAAGAAGGACACACATTTACTATTTTTTCTCTTTTTTTTTTTTTAATTTGTTCTTTTTCTTATTTATTTCTTTTTTTCTCTTTCAGAAATTGGTAAAACATGATGGCTTAAAACGGACCAATCAAAATTAATTAACTCGTATCCATATCATGGTCTTTTATACAATTATTATGCTAGAGGTGTATTCTGATTCTCATCTGAGATTTAACGTTCAGTAAATAACAAGGATGACATATATGAGAACATCCAAGGAGAACATCTCAAGTGGAAATTGGAACACCTCAGAAATCTAAACATGCTATAGAGAGTTTTCCACAAAGGACACAAGCGACACTTGTTATTCGCCAACGTTAAACAAATAACATTTTTTCTTGGTTGCACTATCATCCACCAGTGCAACACTTAGACAGTGCAACGTGTTTTCTTGATTGGTGGTAGGCGAACTCATTCAATGTAACGTGTTTCCGTGGCTATAGTGTAGTGCAAATTTTATGCACGAAGTTGGGTTTTGCTACACGATCTTAAAGGGACGGTGTAAAGGAAAGCTAGGACTCCATGTATGCGGTGAGCTGCGGCAAACGCATGCGGTGACCAATCAGGAGCCAGGCGCATGCCGCATCCGGCAGAAGTCCGGCATGCGTCTGGCTCCTGATTGGTCACTGCATGCGTTTGCCGCAGCTCACCGCATACATGGAGTTTTAGCTTCAGTGTGATAATTCAAATTTGAAAATGGAAGTCAACCGGCAGCAGAATTAAACGCGATAGTATGAAATGTGCACCATGGTATATGTACATTAGTGTAGTGCGAGGTTACACTCAGTGTATTCCAAGAGAAAACGCTAAAATATGAAATGATCACTGTGTTGGAAAACTCCCCTAGACTGCTAACTCCCCACATTTCTTTACGTAAAAGCGCTGTTTGCGCGATTAGGGCTGCGGTCCATTTAGCTTTAAATGCTACAGAGCATTTGTAGCACTAACATGACTGGTCTATTTAACGCTTCGGAACGCTTCCAGCAATTCTAATACGTCATCGTTTTTGCTCCCGTTGCCTCATCTCGGAAAGTGGGTTGGCTGGCAACCAAGATGTGTAGAATAAAACCATCACATGACCGCACGTACAGAAAAAAGATACCAACAAGTTGTCAGCCTCTCCATGATTGATTTGAAGATTGTACACCTTTCTGTGATTGGTTTAAGATATCGTACATCTTTCTGTCAATTCGATGCGTAGACCTTATTTTGGTATATCTTTAGCAACTAAATCAGTATGAGTATATCTTTAGCAAAAAAAATTTTTGGCAACAGTTAAAGGGACAGAGTTAGCAATCCAGTGTAATAATTATATAGAAGTCTACGGTCTCTAATAATCTAGAGACCGCAAATTTCTATATATTGCACTTAAATTAATAATGGACTCCTTATATTTCAATAAAAATGAAGAAAATATAATTTGGCTAAAAAGGAGTGCGCGCAGTAAGAAATGCGCAAAAAAAGTCAAGTACAAGTGTTGCTTGTGTCCTTTGCTGGAAAGTTACCTATGGCATGTTTAGATTTCCAGGTGTGTTCTTTTCATTTGGGTTCTCCTCGGATGTCATATATGTCATCCTTGTTATTTACCGACTGTCAATAAAAAAAATTATTTAATAAAACCAGGAAGTAAGATATAAGGAGACTCCACTCCGTAAAATAAAAGTGGACCCATTTTAGGTTTCGAGTTCAGCTTCCGATTCTGATGAGTGCGAGTAAGAAAAATGATCATTTCTCTTACTCGCACTCATTATGCGCAGCACTACTAAATTCACGAGCGCTGCGAGTGTCGAGAATCGGAAACGGAACTCGAAACCTAAAATGGGTTCATGTCTTGTAGACTGGCGAGACCGAGTGGAGTCTCCTTATATCTTCCTTCATGAATAAAACATAAGATATGTAAAAATATAATTAATGTGAATTCTCACGGACTCTCCAAATTCAAACAATAAACAAAATAATTCTTCAAAGGCGAATGAGAGTACAGCGATGTTGTTGGGTCGCAAACAAAAAGTAGTCTGATCCTTAAACAATCCTTTTCTTCAAATAAAATCTTCAAAACGTTTCGACTTATTTTAAGTCATCTTTAGTTAAAGATATCCATAAATGATCAATACATCTAGCAAGTGAGTCCTATCCAATTGACAGATCAGACGAACTATGTCTTGCAAGATCCAAAGATTGTCATAAGTACAAAAATTGAGAATTAATTAAAGATATTTAGATCAATCATCTTCACAATGCTTATGTTGGATATTAAAGACTTTAAAAATTAACACATTTACATTTATTTAAACATATTTTGAAATGTATGCGAAGTAGGAAGGTTCATAATTAATATCGTGGTAAATGTGTTAATTTTGACTCACTTGCTAGATGTATTGATCATTTATGGATATCTTTAACTGAAGATGACTTAAAATAAGTCGAAACGTTTTAAAGATTTTATTTGAATAAAAGGATTTTTTAAGGATCCGACTACTTTTTGTTTGCGACCCAACAACATCGCTGTACTCTCATTCGCCTTTGAAGAATTATTTTGTTTATAAGATATGTAGTTCCATCGACGTTTGAACGTTTCGACTATTCATTTTAGTCATCCTCGGCAAAATATTAACATGGAATCTCCAAGTATTCGTCAGGAAGCACAATTATCGGTCAAAGAAATTCCATGTTTGTTGATAACGAAATTATGTTATCAAACGGATTCAAGAAAATCCACAAAAGAAAGATACATAGTCACTTAATATTAATCTCCAATAATAAAATAAATTTAGTAATAACCTTGTCAAATTCAAAAATTTTAAGAAAATTGTCCAAACTGCCATATTCTGATTGACTCTGAACTCGATGATTGACTTATGCCTGTTTCCACCAATGCAGATTAACTTTAATCTCGGTTTAACTTACTGTTAATCTTTTTCTAATTTTTAGAATTAGAAAAAGATGAAGAGCAAATTGAACCATGATTAAAATTAATCTGCATTGGTGGAAATGGACATTAATGTAACTACATATATTATGTTTTATTATTAAATAATTTTTTTTCTACAAATTTTTGCGCACTCTTTTTACCGCACTGACTCCTTTTTAGCCAAATTATACTTTATTTATTTAAATAAATTATGCAAATTTGTATTATTTACAGAAGCTCCCGGATATCTAATCGATTTAATGCACGATAAAAACTCTGCAATAAGAAAAGTCTGTGATACATGCTTAGATGTCATTGCTGTGAGTAACTAAGAATGTATTTTCTCGTTTTCATAAATTTTTAAATAGTACGTTAATAATACAAATAAAAATAATTTGTGATGTTATAAGGATTACTAATTGTTCAACTTATTCTAGATATGCGACAAGAATTGGGCAGTTCGCATAAAGGTGGAAAAGTTCCGATCGCATAATCAGCAATGGTTGGAAATGGTTGAGTCGATAGGAACAGATTCGATCAATCATATGTTACCGGATGATGACGATGACAGTTTATCTCCATTTATCAGCGGTGATCTACTAAAACATACTATATTATTTCCCTCTGGTAATATTTATTTTTTCTTTTTTATGAAGTTATTATTCAGCATATATTTATAATAGGTCATCATGCTCACGTAGGTAATACTGCATCATTTAATATGGATGATGGATTTTCAATTATGAAACATTCATCGGAGTCATCTGAAAATCCTAGTCGGCCTGTCAGTAGGTACATATCCAATGATGCATATACATTCGATGCGACATGCAGTGCATCAATAAATGAATTATGATTACATGACAGACTAATTATTTATGTATATTTTTTAGATATCGAGATCTCGACGAAATAGGTGAACTCATGGCTCGTTCTAAGTCTCGCATGTCCGTTGCTTCAGGTATAGAAGATTTATATTATAATTCTAGAGTAAAATTCAGTGAGTCAGATAGTTCTCATATATTAATCTGAAAATTAATCCGAATGTCCTGATATAGATACATGAATTAATTTTTCAAAGATATCTAGAATATTTTCATTATATTCAATGGAAAAAAATGTTTGCTACTATATTACAAAGACACGCTTGCTTAAACAGATTTTATTATATGTATTATAGACAGTTTTTACCTCATAGTGCCAGTATCCGAACTCTGATTAATGGAATCGACTGATTAGGTTAATTAGAGTTTGTGAGATCGGTCCATAGTCAAATATTTTAGTGCCTTTTATTTGTTTACGTATTATTTGTATACATATGAATAATATTTATTTATAAGAATTGGCTTTGTACTCTGATGCGTATAATACTATCAAATAATGATACTAAGTCTATTCAGATCTCTTTTATCATGTGATAGGCTTCAAACAGTCAAAATAGTGTGTAATGTATGTGGTTAAATGCAACATACTTATGATAGTTCAGAGATTTCTCGTAATATTTACATTGTTAATATCAAAATTAATAAGGAGACATGGTGTATGAAATTACCAAACAATTTAATTTGCGTTGCACTTGATACAATCATTTCATCCTTGTTGTGTATCGAATGTTGAACAAGGACAAATAATATTCACGAACATTGTAAGCACCAAATGGTACGCATTTTTTGAGTAAGAGATGAAATTGTATGTATAGATATATTCTGCGATAGCAACTTTTCTTATTTATTGCGTATAACATATTGTGCAATAAGTATAGGCATATGTTCACTTTCTTTAGAAAGTAATCAAAGTTCAAACATATGTATTATGTACAGTTAGTAACTGAAAGACTGCAACATTTTCTTTTCAATGGGTTTCGAAATGCAGCCTTGCTTACCGAATAATTAGTTTTTATTTACGGACTCGTAAATAAAAACCAATCGCTCGATGGAGTAGGCTGTATTCCAAGACCCATTGAAAACAAAGTGTTGCAATTTTTTAGTTGTCGACAATACATTTTGTGTTGTCTTTTGTTTTCATTGCATCTCTTGTCCTTTAGTTATTAACTTATCACACTTAAATTAACATAAGAGTAAGATATTTTATTATATCATCAACATGACTTATAGCTATATATCAATTATCTTCTATTTTATCGTGATAAAATAAATAAATTGAATCTTATAGAAATTTATTATCAGTGTGTAGTGATTTACTTAAAAATATTTTCCTTATACATACATAATCCGATTCCTCTCATTCAACAAGAAACTAAATACTTCGCTTGATTTTGATTTTTGATCGCCAGATTTGCAATATCGTAATTTAACAAATACAAAACAATTTAAAAGGATTTATGTAATATAAAACATGTACTTTTATTAACAAGAAAAAGTTAACGATGTATTTTTATCTTATTATTTGAACTTAAATTTCTTCGTATAACGACTTTACTTTTCGGTCGAAATACAACAGTATAACTATTGTCTCCGTCAGTCAAGAAAGTATGCTCTTTCAAATCGAAGCTAATAGGACTGTCTGCAAATCCTTGTATGTCTAAACTAATCCATGGTAAAGCATCTTGTGATAATACATACTGTTTTAGAGTATTATATACTTCTTGGATCTTTTGTCGTGTGAAAAATCCAGTCCACTGTAAATACTGCACCTGTCTAACATGTATGAAAGGAGAAGAGCACTGATATGTACTTGCATAATTATCTTCTCCCTTAGTAGATCTAAAAATGTTACAGTTATCATTGTTACATTTCTATGGCATGTTACTAATCATCATAAAACTATTTTAAAATGACCGTACAGATCACCATCAATGCTGAAGACTCCAAGCCATTCAAAGAAATCGATATCGGTGTTATTATATGTGTTCTCATAAGTAGGTATTGTTAATGAATATTTGGTTTTTTGGGAAAATTTCTGGCAACAAAGAGAAACGCTATAATTGCGTGCGTGAAACCATGCTGCTACAGACGACGGGCATAAACTGATCTCTGAAATATTAAAATAATGGTGTAAGAAAATGTATCTATATGTATAGGTACACATACAAATATTATATTGTGTATTTAAAAGAAAAAGGTAGAAATGTATGTGAACCTGGTGGATCCCATGATACTATAACATCAAACTTCTGGGTCAGTCGTTCTTCCAACGCTATCCGAACTCTATCGTAATTCTTTTTACCAGGAATGAAACTGTCATTTGTTAGATCAATTCTCACTACTTCGATGTACATTGAAAAAAGAAACATTAAAATTTTTATATAAAAAGACATACATATATGTATACATAAGAAGTAACTGATATATTAGTTCTTTATTGCTGAACTTTTGCACCAGTTCATCTTTTTTCCTTTTTTCTTCTCCTGGAGAGAAAAGGAAGAAAGATGAACTAGTGCAAAAGTTCAGCAATAAAGAACAGACCTATTATTAAGTAAAGGTGCCAGTACAAAGTGAACATACATAAAGTATGTAACGATGCCCCCCTAAAAAAGCATCGTTCCTATGGTGCCATCAAAAAAGGGGCAATGCGCCTGTAGATATATTAAATAATAATTCGCAAAGACAGCAGTCGCCGAAACCGCCAGTCTCGTCGGAAGATGCCGACCGTCGCCGGGGACCGCCGATCGGAAATCTTCTCTCCCACGAAAAACCGATCGGCGGAAAATATCGAAGCCGACCGGAGGATTGCGAACGAGACTGGCGGCTCTGTATAAAATACCGCGTCGACTACGCGACGCAGCCTTTTTGCCTATCACCAGCCTTCCAGTACACTTTCCAGTACACTTTCACCGGCTCCTTCTCAGTGCTCCGAGACCGCTTTCCGAGACCTGCTCGTTCCGACGAACCTAAGGGGTAGGGCGTACCCTGCCTCTGCCGGGTGTTCTCGGCCGCCGGACGAACCGTCGACGTTCCGATCTCCGAGCACGCACCGCGTTGTTCCGACGAACCTAGGGGGTAGGGCGTACCCTGCCTCTGCCGGGCGTTCTCGGCCGCCGGACAACCGCTGCAGTTATTCCTACAAACCTCCGCACACTCTTCTTTCCCTATCCCGAATATCCCGTTCCGATAACCAGCATTCGAAAGGGGGTAGGGCGCTCTCTGCTTCTGTCGAGTGTTCTCGGCCGCTGGTTATCGGATCCTTTTCCTTATTATTCTCAATCATCTTCGAAAATACGCGTCGCGCCGAGTTTCCTTTTCTGGCGTATACCCGCGTTCCACCGCGTCGCTAATCGCCGCCCGCGAGGCCGCGCCGACCGTCTTTTATTTCGCGGATAAGCAAACCGCCGTAAAACTCGCGACCGTTTGTAAATATTTCGCGCGATTAGAATTAAGTCTCGTTGTATTGTCCGCGTCCGCCTTGCGATTATATATACATATATATTTCTTCGTCCGTATCATCGTGATTCGCGTCCGTTTTCTGTATTATATTTTCTTTATGTTATATCTTCGTGTATTATAATATCTTCGCTTTTGTTGTAATAAATTGTGTTCGTCATCAAACTATCACTTTTATATTATTTCTTTTCTTCTGCAATTTCCGAATTATCACGTATTTCCGAAACACCGATCCGACGCGAATACTCCTCCTGCCGAACTTCTTTTACGCGACGCGCATCTTATTTCAACCGATGAGCTAGTCCGAGCGTAAAATCATATTACATATGTATATGCGTAAAATAAGGTTGTTACAAATATATGTAACTTTCGGTCGATTTTCGAATCGCCTCCGTCTTCTGCTATCTCCTTCACCTCACCGCGCGCGGTCCAAATGCCGCACGACGCTCGAGCGACATTTGATCTGCGCGCGGGGCGGAGAAGTGAGGGGAACAGCGGAAGACGGAAGGGATTCGAAAATCGGTCGAAAATTACATACACTTTATGTATGTTCATTTTGTACTGGCATCTTTCATTAATAATATATCAGTTACTTTTCATGGTAAAATATTATTATTAGATAAAAAGGTTTAGATTTTTGCAAGGTTGGGTAAGTTAATATTTTTTTTTAACTGAATAAGTTAAAGTTAATGGCTTTACAAAATTAATAAAGTTAAGTTAAAAGTTGAAGGAATAAAAAATTAACTTAACGCAAGTTAAGTCAATATTGAATTAACTCAAGGTGAAAAAAAGTTAATTTCGAAAAAAATAATTTTTTAGATCAAAATGTCCTAATTTTTCTTAAAATAAGATTAAACAACTACAATATAGATCATTAAGTAAATTAAACTTTTAATTTTTTTATTCATATGTGATATAAGTATATAACACATAACGATATAACTATATAAGTTATATAATTTTAGAAAAACAGCCAGCACATAGAAAAGATACAAGAGTGATTACATTTTTAAAAATTACATTTTAATTTAAAAATAAACTATCAATAAAAATACAACGTATCGATAATGACAAAATATTAAATAATAACAAAACTCATAGTTCCTCAGAATCATATACATTGCAGAACCACATGTAAAAATTAATAATAATAATAATAATTCGAGATGATATTAAACTAGTGCATACACTAGTTTAATATCATCTCGAATTATTATTATTATTATTATTAATGGTTCATAAACCAATCAGAGAGCCATATTAGCATCTTAAGACATTCCTTGAGATTAGACTATGTTCGGACTATGGATTCCGGCCTTAGTCTTATTAAATCTTATTATTTTTCTAATATATTTAAAAGAGATAAAAAAATTTTTTAATTTAAATAAAAGTTAAAAAGTTAACGTTTAAAAGTAATTCAGTTAAGTTAAAATTTAATAAATTTAAAATTAACTAAGTTAAATTAAAAGTTATTAACTTTTTAACTTTTTTTTTAACTTTTAACGTTTTAACTAGTTACTAATGCCCAATCCTGGATTTTTGAGTATCCTTTTTTGAACATGGCTTGAACTTTTCATTTTCACGATGATTTTTTTCGGATATCATTTAGTTTTTAGAGTACAAATATATTACAAATATATAAAAAAATGATTTAAAAATATTATATAACGAAAGAGAGTGAAATACGGCAAAAGAGAGGGG